GATTTATAAATGATTTACCTTACAAATCTGATGAAATGGCGCATGTTGCATTCCCAGATGAACGTTATAATAAACCCAAACTCACAACAACATGCAGAGATGGAGTTTGAGACGCTCTACACATGTAAATGATAACAGTTCCTGTGGAACTACTGTGAACCAAAGAGTATAGATATATCATGCAGCCTTGGAAAACAGACTAATAATGTGTTTTATACATTCTCGTCTGTGAAATGCGCCACTTCCGGTATTTTGCCGGTTAGTCGACGCGAGCAAAATGAAGTCGAGGATTTTTAAAAATCGAATAGTCGAATAAAATCGACGAATCGCGACAGCCCTAAATCCATTAAAAGTAACTGTAGTCTGATAACAAGTATTTTAAAATGTCATTTAATCTAATTACAAGTACTTAATTTTTGGAATCTGATTACATGTAATCAATTACTACCCAGCTCTGTCTTCTGCAATATTGCTCATACTTAGTGTTAGGGATTTGAAACCAGATATGAATGATATATCAAATCATGTTGTTTATTGAGGACAGGTGTATTAATATTTTTTTTGGGGGGGTGGGGGTGGCTCTTTTGACTTGGTGCAGTAAGAAACCTAAAAATCACTCAGGAATTTTAGCGACTACATAGCAACATGCTAAAAAAGCCAGAATCAAATAGGTTACAGAAGTTGCTGGAGCACCACTGAAAGTGCATCGTAATTTATATGGCAGAGAAATCAAGGTTTTTTTATTCATTCTCACTCTCATATATCCCAGCACTATCTGGGGCAGAGCTGACGGATCACCATCTTCTCAGAAAATCCATTAGCATCAAAGAGGAATGAAGACCCGCTGTGGTTGTTCTAGAGGCCTGAGTGTGTGTGTGTGTGTGTTTCCTCACCTAACCTGCACCTTATCCTCTTTCCTCAAATGCCACGTTCACCCACGTGCCGTAATAATCGCCGTCTCCAGAGAAAGCACTCATAACTCCGTCTTAATGCCCTCAGTGTCTTCCCCTTTAATCCAGAATCCTCTGCTGCTCATTTGACATATGGCTGGCTCCGAGCGAAGCGGCCCTGCCCCAAATTGTTCACTGCCATAGATAATGTCAGGATGCCAGCACCTACTAATGAACGCAGAGAGCTGGAGAGAACATCTGGTCCTCAAATGCTATCTTGTGAGAGAGCGCAGAAGAAAGAGAAAGCACATTGTTGCTCGTTTGTGGCCCACACAGCCGTCTCCATCTTGCCTCATTAAATTATTGTCTGCAGAATGCTCAATATGTCTTGCTGCTCACTCGAGCTTTCAGACACAATATGTTCCTGGGATTCAACTGCAAACAATGCAACGCTAATTTCAACACACCAAGTCAAGATGGTTCAGTGCCTGAAAGTTTCAACCTCGTTTTGACCCTCTCTCTATAATATCGCTATTTAATATAATATTTATAATATAATATTTAATATAATATAATATTTTTAAATGGTCCTTTGGGAATGTAGATGAGGCCTGAAGATGGTAATTGTGTTTGGTTGTTATTGCTCTAATATAGACAGCCACTCTCTCTCACATAAATGAAGAATTTTAATTTCTTTGCCACATGAAAGAAAAAGCTCATGGCTCATGTTTTCTGATACAAAGGAAGGCACAACAGTATTAAACAAGTGGAGCAAATTAAAGTGATACAAAAATAATTACTGACAACATGGGAATGTGTCTAAATTATATTTGGACTACACCTACTTAGCACTAGCTATTATTACTAACAGCACGCCTCAGTTGTTGTTATTCTAACATGACTTAATCATATATCACTGCATACAACGAGTGAAAATTGTTTTCATCTGGTCAGTCAACCCTTGTAAAAAAAAATAAGCACTTTTTAAAAATAGTACTTTTTATGGAAATAATATACTTAAAAAAATATAGACTTTTAAGAATAGAATTTTTTTTCTGACACTCGATTACATGTTAATTACAATTAAATGAAAATGTAGTTTAAATTGGTATAAAATTTGTGTTTTTTCTCACTTAAGTAAGACTTAAAGGGATAGTTCACCCGTCTGTCAGTCATATAATGGAGGTGAATGGGAATCACGGCTTTGAGAGTAAAAAAAACCATACACAAACAAAACCAAATTAAACCCTGCGGCTCGTGACGATACATTGATGTGTAAAGACACGAAACGATCGGTCTGTGCAAGAAACTGAACAGTATTTATATAGTTTTTCACCTCTGATGCACTGCAATGTCTGAACTGTGCTGACGCGTCACGCACCGGCTGAAGAAGAAGACGCGAACACGCTCAGGACAGTTTGGACATTGCGGTGAATCAGAGGTAAAAAACGATATAAATACTGTTCAGTTTCTTGCACAGACCGATCGTTTCGTGTCTTAAGACCTCAATGTATCGTCACGAGCCGCAGGCTTTGATTTGGTTTTGTTTGTGTATGTTTTTTTTTTACTCTCAAAGCCGTGATTCCCATTCACTTCCATTATAAGACTGACAGACTACAACAGTTAAAGTTAAAAATCTTCGTTTGTGTTCTACTGAAGAAACAAAGTCACCTACATCTTGGATGCCCTGGGGGTAAGCAGATAAACATCAAATTTTCATTTTTGGGTGAACTATCCCTTTAAGTACATTTTTATGTATAATGTCATAATTCTACTGTCTTTGAAATCTGGTTTAAGTGTGCTAACTGAATGTACTGACAAGCATTTATGGTAAACATATATTTAAAAATATATTTAATGTAATTTCTATTGAATCTTGTGTAAATATATTTGTAATGCACATTTATAATGATGAAGTTACAAATTAGTACTTCCAAAATATATTCATTTTTAATGTAATATTGAATAAATCACTACAGTTAAAATTAATATCAAGTTCTTTACACGTGCTTTACTGTGCTAGTCAACATAAAAAGAAGTGTACTTCAAAGCATTACAAAAGATTATTAAAACATAATCTTTTAAAATGTACTTTTAAAAGTGCACTTAAGTGTGTTTAAGTCATGAAAGTGTACTTTTATTTCATCATTAATATTATTTACATTTAGTCATTTAGCAGATGCTTTTATCCAAAGTGACTTACAAATGAGGACTATTATCTCCAAGCACAGTTTTTCAAAAAATAAACTTTTAAGATTTGAACACTACAAGTGCATATTCAATACAATTAAATGCATTGCTTTTTCACAAGGCATAAGCTGTTTTGCTTTAATACGAGGGAAACCTGTTTTTGTCAACATCAATTGTGCATTAAATTGATATTTCTATTGCCCAAAACGTCACTTGGAGCATTTCCAAACTTTTGGAGGGCACTGTACCTTTCAAAATCTACATCTTAAACCATCTCTTCTCTCTTTTAAAGGTTTGAATGAATGTTTGCTTAACAATGGAGGCTGCTCGCACATCTGTGTGGACCGTCCCATCGGATACGAGTGCCAGTGTCCTGCTGGCTATAAGCTTCTGGACAAGAGGACATGTGGAGGTCAGGCCTGGCTCAGTGATGAGATGAATTGACAGTAAAAGTAAAGCTGATTTAATTGAATTTCATATTGGGCAAGAACGTGTGCCTTCAGCTTACAGGCACTGTGTTCTGCTATGACTTATATATCAGATCTCTCTATATATGACAAACTCAATAAGGTCTCACAGTAAGAACTACATTTGAAGTGCTTGATGTGCCCTTGATCAATAGCAGGTCATAACAGACAGTCTTTTCCTATACCTATACTGTATACGATGTAGTAATGATATTCAGTCGTCTTGAGCGAGTGAGCATGTCTGCAGTCACGTGTGTCTGTTTACTCCACAGATATCGATGAGTGTGAGAACCCTGATGCCTGCAGTCAGATCTGCATTAATCTGAAAGGAGATTTCAAGTGTGAATGTCACCCGGGTTATGAGATGGACCCCGTAAGCAAGACCTGCAAAGCTGAGGGTAAGACATTCCTATAAAAACAGATGTTTGTTATGGTTTCTGTCCTTTTATCTTCATTAGCCTTACAATAAAGGTCATTTCCAGGTTGATTTATGCTAGTTAGGTGCTTGTTTAACTAGCGGACCAGAACTGCAGTGTTGTAGCATCCAGCATGGCTTCCTGATACTGGTTTCCGCAGAAATATTTAGCAGCACAATTGTTTTTAACACTGATAATAGTAAATGTTTCTTCAGCAGCAAATCAGCAAATTAGAATGATTTCTGAAGGATCTGAAGAATAACTCTGAAGAATTATTATTTATTTATTTAAAAAATGTATATTTTGAATGGCCAAGAATTGAGAAATCATGCTAACCAGTCAAAACATGACCCTTCATTCTGAATGAATGACTCATTTGGTTATTCATGCTCCTGGTCATCTTATATTAGATCACACTGTAGGATATGCATTCTTGAAGTCATTTTTTAATATTTGCCAGCACGTTTCATTCTGCTACTGCAGACATTCCAATTAGATTTTATCACATGACTGACTGCTACTTCCTGTGCCCTCCATGGCTCGTCAGCCTTCAAGTAGAAGACCTCTGAAAAATAGCACAATGACACGATCCCTGAGGCCCTCAGACATACAGAGATGTAGCAGGAGAAATGTAATGTTTAAGAAGGATAAAGATGAGTGAATCCTTCCCACAGAGTGTATCCGTCTGTGACTGGAGTTATTGTGATCTTTATATACAGTGTGCACTCAGTCTACAGCATAAAGGTTAGAGATGTCACGGTCTCTGTAAATGGCTTTGCCATAGAGTTGTTGGCATTAATAGATAATTTAACATAGTTATACAGGTTGTATTCCGATTCCATCTACAGTATTTGTGACATGTTCCTGATTACCGCTCAAATAATTTTCAATTATTTCAATTATTCCAAAAAACATGTACAGCAACATCAGCAGCAACCAGAGCAATGTTTTTTTCCAAATCATTTTTATTTGAGTTGTGAATGTGAGTTTTAATTTGAAATTAAATGTGAGGAGATAAAAAAGACAGTGTACTGCAAATGAATGGCAATTCTATTCAGTTGTCCTTAAAGATAATTAAATGTTACTTACGTTTTATGTATGCTAATGATTTTGAAAACATATTTGTTGAGTTGCAAGACATGACTGGATGTCCAATTAAGGGCTGCCCGCAAAAACAAACATACAGAGATACTACTATAGTCTGATTCACAATCTTTTAATTTTTTTAATTAATGTATTATTTTTTGTAATAAATGATATTTTAAGAAATATTTTATATAGTTTATATAGCTATGGTGTGAAATATTAAGTTTTAAATATTTACAAAAATATTAAGTATAAACATACAATATTTACAGTACAGTATAGACAGATGTATGTATAAAAAAAATTCTGGTGCACTGTCAAAGATCATTAAATCTTAACTCAATGTTAATGTATCCTAATGATTCTGAAAACATATTGGTCAAGTTGTCACTTGTGTAATCTGATTAACAAGCAAATTATTCTTTGGCGCTGGATCTTTTAATTCATTTTTGAATTATTTATTTATTTTTTTGTAGCTTAATCTTTTGTAATAAATAATATTTTATTTAAAGAAATATTATTTTTTTTTAAATTATATATCTTTTATGTGTATATACCATAGTTACCATAGTTTGTGACTGTAAAGACAAATGTAGTTTCTTTGAGGGAAGAGTGCGAAAACCTGTGGTACTTGTAATCATGGATAGAAAGCTTTTCTTTGTTTCAAGAACGAGTCGTCTGTGAACTCTCTGTGATCTCTTGTCTTTGTGCTTGTTTTAGGAAAAAGCCCTTACCTGATGTTCACGAACAGGCACGAGATCAGACGCATTGACCTGGTGAAGAGGGACTACACACAGGTGGTTCCTACTCAGAAGAACGCAGTGGCCATTGATATCGACGTGATCGCCAACCGCATGTACTGGTGTGACCGTTTCCAGCACAAAATATACAGGTGACTTCATCTTCACCTTTGGGTTATTATGCTGTAAATATGGTAGCGGTTTAGCTGAGCACTTAAAAGCAAGCCATGGCCATTACTATGAGAGCCAGGACTCATTTAACAGCAAAGTGCTGCTTCACATCATGCCTGTGATGTGTTAATTATTTTAAACTCAGGAGATATGGCTCAATTTATTTACATAGCCCTCCCTCACACACTCAGACCGTTACTCTCCAGATAACACTCTCTCTAGTGAAATTAATTAAAATGAGATGCAGAGAGGCAGAAAAACATTTTAACTGCCATATTACTGAAACAATGATTATGTGAGAGTGCCATTCAGTTCCTTGGGAAACTACTTCAGTCTGTGTGCATTGAATTTATTTAATACACGAGTTTCACAATTTGAGTTGAATTACTGAAATAAATGAACTTTTCCACGACATTCTAATTTATTGAGATGCACCTGTACACACTGCCTCTCCAACGTTTGGGGTCAGTAAGATTTTTTTATTTTTTTGAAAGAAGTTTCTTTCTTTTCTAAGCCTGCGTTTATTTGATTATTGTGAAGTATTATTACAATTTAAAATAACAGTTATATATTTTAAAATGTAATTTATTCCTGTGATGCAAAGCTGAATTTTCAGCATCATTACTCCAGTCTTCAGTGTCACATGATACTTAAGAAATAATTTTGATATGCTGAGTTCTTCTCAAGAAGCATTTCTGATTACAAATGTTGCTTGCTTATTTATGTGTGTGTGTAAACTGTGATACTTTTTAAAGGATTTTTTGATGAGTAAAAAGTTCAAAAGAACAGCATTTATTTGAAGTAGAAATCTTTTCTACATTATAAATGTCTTACCTGTCACTTTGGATCAATTTAATGCATCATTTATGAATAAAAGCATTAATTTCTTTAAAAAAATAAAATAAAATCTTACAGACCCCACAATGTAATGTACGAGTTAAAACACCCTAAAACTGTTTGTGATGCCAAAAAAAAAAAAAAAAAAAGACAAAAGCTATAAATATTTGAACAAATGTAACATGATTGCACGATGCACTGTTAATGAATAGAATTTATGCATTTTTTGTGATGTACCATATGTTATCTTTTTTTACAATACTGATATAATAAATATTATTATTTTGGTTGCACTTTATTTTACAGTATGTGTACTTACTTGCACTTACAATGTACTTACCTAAGAAAGTCCTGGAAATATAAGGTTAAGGTAAGGTTTAGGGGTAGGTTCAGGATTAACTATATACATCAAGCGTAGCGTTAGTTCTGGCAGGTTACGTTAGTCAAGCTCGCATCAGCTGACTCTCAGCTGATCCCCATCTACCTATAGGAATACGACACCTATCTAAGCATTCATATATAAGGTCCCTCATTATCAGCAGTTTTCGCATTGCTCAATAGCTAATTACCCTCCTCCATCCCCAGCTCCTCCTCTGTCAGTCAGGATTCAGCCTTCTGATTCTCCTTTGAATCAGACTAATTCTAAAATGTGTACATAATATTATTGAACTTTAACGATATCTGCAATACATTTATGTTGGTTCTGTTCTGTTTACCCTGGGGGGTTATCGCTGCTTTCCCTGCTCTCATCCATGCTAGGCTGCATGGATACGCAGGGAGTTCATGCCCAGAACAGAACCATACCGCCAATCCAAACTGTATGCTAATTGTCAATCATCTTTGACGATAGTGGCCCTGACAGAAATAGTTATTACCCTGTTAATCTAGTGCACGTGAAACATGAATGTAAAATAAAGTGCTGCCATTATTTGTCAATTAATGTCTGTTATTTGTGAATTGAATCCGTGTGTGCTTTTAAAACACTTTTGTAAAACTCCTTTATCAGAAAAACAGGATTGATAGCATAATAACAGCAGAAATGATCAAAACAGCAAAATACCATGAGGTTAAAAAGGTTATTGAAAAGTTAATAATAGTAAGATTTTTATAATATCACCAATTTTGAGAGTGAAATGTCCATCATTTGAACCCTTTGAAAATGTTTTGGTTTGGTTGGAAAAGTTTTTGTTTTGAACTACTGTTTGTAACGACCCTGCAATGCTTGTTTTTCCTTCAAAGTGCCCTGTGTAGACAGCAGGTCGAACGCTCTGTGTAATGTAATACAGGAAAGGTTTCGACTCTTGCCATTTGAAGGTCTGGCCTTGTTACAAATTCATATGAATTCGCAAAGAACCTCTTGACTCATTTTTCCACGGTCCATCTTCCTTTCCTCCTGATTGCACATTCCATGTGATCTCGCTAATTGGGGACATTCACTTTCCTAATAATAGATACCTCTGCGGCTGCCCAAAATGATGTGCTATCTTATTAAACGGCAGTACTCTGCCCCTGCCCTCTCTCTCCCTGCCTCTCGTCTGTCACTTTTGGACTTATAAGTGAGGATAAAGTCCAAAGTCATTAGCCGTAACTGCTCCGCTGTGTGCTTGAACTAGTTTGGGATGATATTGAAGCTGATAATAGAAGGCTGAGGGGTGAGTTGAAGCCCTACAGGGCCATTCATTCACATAGACACCTGTGGCACTCATGAACACTTCAGATCATGTGAAGAGAAGTGTTGAGTACTAGAAAAGATGTTTTAGTTAAAAATCAGAACATAAATAATGTTTAAAAAAGCATAATTTAGACAAAAGGATTATGTTTGTATGGGCAACTAACCAGCGGTTTATTGCATACTGCACATTATATAGACCTTATATGTTTATGTAAAGTTTGTGAATATGCTATATACGATAATGAACTTTTCCAAATGTAGTATGCTATATTAGTGGGCCTTCCATTGACACATTTTTCTATGAATTTTGGGATAACACAAAAAAATGGTGTATGGAAACACCAAGATGCAAATAAAATTTCCAAAATACTAATAAAAAACATGCAATTACTTCCATTCATTAACAGTGCATAAAACAATCATTTCATATTTGCTTATAGTTTTTGTTTATGGTGACACATGATCACTTTTAGGGAGTTTTGAAAAAAAAAAAAGCTAATAAAAAATTAGCTTGTACATTACTGTTCAAAGTTTGGGGTCAGATAATATATAAATAAATAAATACGTACATTTTATGAAAGTTTTTTTTTTAAATCAGAAATGATGCATTAAATTGATCAAAAGTGACAGTAAAGACATTTATAATGTTACTAAAGATTTCTATTTCAAATAAATGCTGTTCTTTTGAACTTTCTATTCATCACAGAATCTGGAAAAATGTATCCAGGATTCCACAAAAATATTAGGAAGCAAAACTGTTTTCATCATTGATAATATTAATAAATGTCTCTTGAGCAGTAAATCAGCATATTAGAATGATTTCTAAAGGATCGTGTGACACTGAAGACAACAGAGTAATGATGCAAACAATTCAGCATTGCATCTCAGGAATAAATTAGATTTTAAAATATATTCAAATAGAAAAGAGTTATTTAAAATTATAATAATATTTTATTTATTTGATCAAATAAATGCATCTTCGGTGAGCATAAGAGACTTTTCAAAAACATTTGTAAAAATTTCACTCACCACAAATTTTTGACCAGTAGTATTTTTCTGTGAATTTTGGGAGATCATAAAAAATGCTTGATGGAAATGACATTCTGCATTAAAAACATGCACAGTCGCGGACATTACATTTATTGACAGTATTTTTGGCTGTTAGTGGTTTTACAAAATAAGTGTCAATGGATGCAGTTTGTGGGCAAAGGATTTTTCCTCATTCTATCACTATCTATAAAACAATCACAACTGAAGTCGTGTGGTTTGACTGTTGGACTCGGCGTCTAGTAGCAGAACCTCTAATTGTCTGCATGTCTCTGCAGTGCTTACATCCACGAGGCGAGCGACCCGTCTCGACACGTTACTCTGATCGACTCCGATCTGCATTCCCCTGAGGGTCTGGCACTGGACTGGGTCCAGCACAACCTCTACTGGACCGACTCGGGCGACAGAACCATCTCTGTGGCTTCAGCGGATGGCAGCAGGAGACGCATGCTGATCAGCACCGATCTGAGCGAACCACGGGCCATCGCTGTGGATCCAGAGAGAGGGTGAGCAGCTATCAGACACATCCCATCCCAGCACTGCCAACCAAATGACAAAACCACAAAAGGCCAGACTGCATTTAAAGGTCACTGATGATAAGAGAAGCTTTCAGTGACATGCACATGGAGGCTGTGGAGTATTACAGAGGAAATGTTATTAGAATTCTATTAAACCATAGAGATAACCTTACTGCTCGTATAAATGGTTTCAAGCATGATGTTGTTTGCTCACAATAGTGAATGCCACAAAATGGTTCTCTTGTTGATGCACAAAACTATTTGAATAAGTCATTTAGGTCTGCTCTGGTCTTAAGATAACTAAGACCTTTGTCATTGGCAAGTCTCAACAGTAGAAAAGAGAAAGATTTTTCACACATCTAGTTTAAAACTAATATTCCAAGTTAGAAATGTGCTATTTATATTCACGTTAGTTTCATCTAGTTTTGAAAAACATGTAGACCATTTTCAGGAAAGGTTTCAAGACTCTAAAAATGTGATGTATATCCATCAAATGAAAGGTGTAGCGTCTGGACCACTCAAACACACAATATATATTTTGTTTATATAATTAACAAATCCTCTGTAACCCCCTCAGTTAACAAGCCATATGAGGACCCATGAACCCTTCCCCCCGAAATGCGTAACACCCCAGGAAGCTAAGTTTTTGGAGAATCACACCCCATGTAAGTAAGTGATGCTTTTGTTAACTAAAATGATAATAATAATAAAAATAAGGTATGTTGCCTTATCATCTAACTGAAATAAAATGTTTTTAAAGTACTAAAATTGCTAAAACCTCAACACAGAATAATTAAAAATAAATAGAAATATAAAAAAATATAAAACCGACAAAAGCACATAAAATTAAAACGTACGCTAAAATTGTAATGAAAATGGAAAACATAAAATAAATAAAAACAATTGAAAATTATTAAATTAACCCTCAAGCATCCTTCGTATAGCAGCCCTTAACTTGTCGATCGTGGACAAATTTGGGCACGAAGGTCTCAGCTGTGATCCCAGTTTTAAATAAAAACTATCAATTTATGCATTTTTATTTTTATTTTTGGTGTTTTTTTATTTATTTACCTCTAAAAGTAAAATTTTTTAAATGTAAAATATGCTTATTTTTATGTTATATTTAATATTTCTTATACTTCAGTAAAAAATAAAATAAAATCATTCCAGTAAGTTCAGACGACCAAAACCTAAAAAGAGTTTGGTGACATCTGGTGACATATGATGATATAAAAATATCAAAAATATCAATAGCCAATGGTTGTAGTACTCAATGGCTGCATATAGGCTGAAATCAACCATTGTTGTAATGAAACTAACCTCTTAAGTTTTAGATTTAATCACAAGTTTAAAAGTGTAGAATTAAAAAAATAATAATCTTTGTGCTGGGTGAGACTATACAAAGATGCCAAAATATGCTTGCAGACAAATCTGACCATGCTATAAGGAAAAGACAAAGTAGGAGACAGAGTAATCACTTATTTCTAATAAAAAACATCAAATTTCAATAACTCAAAAAAGTAAAATGCTTTACATAAAAAGGAAAGAAAATATTTATTAAAACATAATCACAACAATAAAAGCAAGGAATAAAAATTTTAAACTGATTTAAAAACTGATTTAAAATGAATTAAAACAGTTAACCCTCGAGCATCATTTGTATATATTGTCGATCGTGGACAAATTTGGGCACGAAGGTCTCAGCTGTGATCCGAGTTTTAAATAAAAACTATCAATTTATGCATTTTTATTTTTATTTTTGGTGTTTTTTTATTTATTTACCTCTAAAAGTAAAATTTTTTAAATGTAAAATATGCTTATTTTTATGTTATATTTAATATTTCTTATACTTCAGTAAAAAATAAAATAAAATCATTCCAGTAAGTTCAGACGACCAAAACCTAAAAAGAGTTTGGTGACATCTGGTGACATATGATGGTATAAAAATATCAAAAATATCAATAGCCAATGGCTGTAGTACTCAATGGCTGCATATAGGCTGAAATCAGCCATTGTTGTAATGAACCTAACCTCTTAAGTTTTAGATTTAATCACAAGTTAAAAGTGTAGAATTAAAAAAAAAAAAATCTTTGTGCTGGGTGAGACTATACAAAGATGCCAAAATATGCTTGCAGACAAATCTGACCATGCTATAAGGAAAAGACAAAGTAGGAGACAGAGTAATCACTTATTTCTAATAAAAAACATCAAATTTCAATAACTCAAAAAAGTTGGATGGAACCAAATGGTCCCAAACAGGTAAGAATAAACAATAAACCTAAGAAGTAGCATGTTCCAGACATTTTTTTGACATTTTCATCAACAAATCTTGCAGTAGGACTTTGATCTGACTTTGAAGTGTGTGTGTGTGTGTGTGTGTGCGTGTGCATGTGCGTGCGTGCGCGCACAGTGGCTGAGTGGCACAAACAAAAAACATAAAGCTCAGTCATTAGCTCATTTAATTCTTTGGTTTTGTATGTGTGAGTGGCTGTTTTTATTCAACAAAATAAAAAATAAAAAACTTGCTGGCAAACTTACGAAAAGTAGCCAAGTCTTGAACCGATTAAGGAAACTATTAAAAAAAAAAGAAGAAAAAAAAAAGATTTTGCCCAAATTTGTCCCAAATGACGATTGAGGGTTAAATGATCTGATTGTAAAAGACTTACTTAATTTCCTCTTTCAGGTTTTTCTGCATGACTTTAATATGGCTATGATACTAATATTTACAAGAATTACATTATTTTAATGCAGCTTTTCTCTTCATTTTTGTCATCAGGACAGTTGTACCACCCTGACATTTTCAATACAAAATCAAAAATATCAAAATCGATTTTAGTTTTTATAATTTTAGAAATGATAGATGTAGGTGTATTCAGGTCATGTATGTATGAATTGCATTTTTAATGTATTAAAAAAAAAAAACAGATCCAGGTTTTGTGTTACATGGAAGTTTAAACTTTTTTTCTGAGAAATGCTTTGCTTTCACAGGTTCATGTACTGGTCTGACTGGGGCACCAGGGCCAGGATTGAGAAGGCTGGCATGAACGGTGTAGATCGGCAGGTGCTGGTGTCTGAGGACATCGAGTGGCCCAATGGAATCACACTCGGTAGGAATTATAATGGTTATTCCCTTCTGTTATTTATGCTCTATGGAAAGAGGTAGAGATGGGCTTGTAAAAAGTCTAAAACGGTTGAGCTTTATGCACTCTTTATGAATCAGTAAGGCTGAACTGTTTGACTGCAGCGTTGTGTCTCTGAATGCAGATGTGGTTGGTAAGCGCTTATATTGGGTGGACTCAAAACTGCACCTGATCTGCAGCGTGGATTTAAACGGGGCCCATCGCAGAGTCATCCTGTCCTCCAGCGAGAGACTCGGCCATCCGTATGCCCTCGCTGTGTTCGAGGTGAGTGAGCCTCCTAAATACTGTACCTGTGTGTCTCAGTTTCTTCTATTTCTTTATAAACTCAATGTGTATGTGTTTACATGCATGCGGTTAACACCAGCTAGTCTGTTTGTGTGTATTTATCAGTCCATTACTGTGAATGTAACTGCTGCCCAAGCAGTCCAGCACTTAATAATAACTCCCACTCACACTGCTGAGAAGCTCTGGTCCTATCGCTCACACACAGACCGGGTCGACTGGAGCGTATGCAAAAGAGTGTGTGTGCGGTCAGTATCTTACAGCCGAGTTAGCACTAAAGCCTTTCTTCTGTTCTCTTTGTGATTTATTAATATAGCAGCATTTTCAGAGCTGCAGGACTCTGGCCAGTGAGGTAGTCCAGATCAATCTTTTTTTTTAAGATTTATTTTTGGCGTTTTTGACTTATCAATGTATTATGATAGGACAGTTTAGATCTGACAGGAAGCGAAGTGGGAT